ATATGTTAACCGTTCACAAAAACGGTCGCTGTTCCATCTCTCTGTCATGAAAACAGAGAAAAGTAACTTCCATCCGTTCTGCGTTCCTAGCTTCGTGGAGATCAGGTACAACTACTTACGTCCGGTACTCTGATGCATGGTATTCAGAGACGAGTCAGAGTACTATTGGTGCGACCAAATTAATCCGGATGACGCGTGTTTCCTCTTTCTATCTCCGAGTTAAGGTGCAGGAGCGATACAGCGTAATGTGGTGCTGCTTAGATGCTCCGCGAAGATTTTACAGCTGGCTCAATGGACACTTGAACTTACGTTACTGTATTCTCGTACCTCAACCTTGGCTCCCCAATTGACAACCGGTGGAACGACGAGAAACAATTATTTGAAATTATACACACAGGAAATCAAGAGAGACTATTAATACGTTCTCCCCGTAAATACATATACAAAAAAAAAAAAACACATTATGTCCCTGCCCTATCTTTTACTCCCTTTAAACATGACTTTTTCATCTATACCACCTTTTCCTCGCTGCTGCTCCTGTGCAGGTTGAGTGAAATCGTACAAATGTGTTGTGTATACTTAACGTTAATTGATAATTAATAGTTCAAATATTATTAGCGTAGCGATTATATGCAGTTATTATATACCACTATTATTATTATCGTGACAAGATGCAAAGTATATAACAAGATAAAATGGACTGTATGAAATGGAAAGATATTGAAAAAGAAATCAACAACATTGTATGTAAGGAAGGGAGAACAGAATTTAGAGGAAAGTTAAGTAATGTTAACTTAGGCTAATTTGTTATTAAGAGATCGCTACGGTTGCCGAAGGTTGTACCTTAGCACCATTAAATTTTATGGATCATTCTGAAATTAATCCTCAAATAATCTGTTGAATCGTCCTAAGAAAGATGATTCTCTCATAACAGGACAGGCGAGACAACACGGATTAACGGTGTCGCAACCAAAAAGTAGAAATTCACGACATGCTGCTATTTGCTATTATGGGAGGATTTATAAATCGTGTTAATTTTGAAAGAAAAAAAGTTTTTCAAATCGAGGGTCCAACATGTACAGTTCAATCAAAATATGTAGCTATGAAGCGTAATCGAAATGGACCCTCGCGTGAAAAGCGTTCTGTACATACTATACTATTATTACGATAATAATAACGATTATTATTAATTTCCCTGTCTATTATGAATTTATTATTATTAATATTATTGCTATTATTATAATTATTATTGATTCTTAATAATTATTATTATTACTATTACTACTATTACTACTACTACTATTACTATTACTATTACTACTATTGCTATTACTACTATTACTACCATTACTGCTACTATTACTACTACTGCTATTATTATTATTATTATTATTATTATTATTATTATTATTATTATTATTATTATTATTATTATTATTAATATTATTATTATTACTATTATTACTGTTATTATTATTATTATTATTATTAATATTATTACTATTATTATTATTATTATTATTAATATTATTATTATTATTATTATTATTTTATTATTTTTATTTTTATTATTTTTATTATTATTATTAATTATTATTATTATTTATTTTATTTTTATTACTATTAATATTATCATAAAAAAATTTAAAACGTAGGTATAGTGTAATATTTGGGAAAAAAGCGAGAAAGGGATTCACACATGCGTTATAATTAATATGGGCTATACCTTTGCACGATAAATCCGAGAAAAGAGATACAACTGATACACGTACACGTACATACCAAAATTACGTGACTATGCCAGTGCTGTATCATAGTAAACTGTAAATGTAACTTTTCCTCCCTTTTTTCTTCGATATCTATTTAAAAGACTAGTTGATAATGAATGATGCGTGAAGGTGTACTTCGAAAGTCCGTAACATCGGATATTTTTTAAATACACGGTGTACAATGTAGCTATCATGTAATCAAGCTATAACCGATTTAGTCGTAATCAGAGTTACTAATGACACACGCAACCAATGTGCGGTTCATAACACAAACGTGACGTTTCCGTCGATAAAAGCGCGGTCCGATTCGAAATAAAACCGGAAAAATTATGACCCGTTTGAGAAAAACGTTTTAAAATATATATTTGTCACGTTCTAATATATTTATGATCAAACATATGACATCTTATATCTCTATATAACTTACATACACGTCGTTACATCTATGCCTTTTTTGAATTCGTTAAAAGAAAAAAAGAAAAAAAAGAAAAAAAAAAAAAAGAAAAAAAGAAAAAAAGAAAAATTATTTTATAAAAACAAACGGAAGAATTTATGAGATTGGGAGGGAGTAAGTTTAATTACAAAAAAAAAAGAAAAAATCGTTTTAAATAACAAGTTGATCTCGTTTCATTTAATTAAGATGAAAATTCGAAAAATTGTTGTTTTTTTTTTTTGTTATTTTAAGTTTTATTGAAATTTGTTTACACACGAATCGTCAACACATGACTTGAAACATTCCTTTGTTGTACATCCTTTTTCTTATCCTTTCTTCCCTCTGTCTTCTTATTTTTCTTTTTTTTTTTTCTTTTCTTTCTTTTCTCTTTAAATTT